TTATTTCTTGCGCGGCCCGGTACCAATTGGTCCATGGACTGGTACCGGTCCGCGGCCCGGGGGTTAGGGGCCATTGGTTTAAAGTATTCAGTATAACTTGGACATCAGATGAATCATTATTAAACGTATTGAGAAGTTAAAAATAACATATTGTTAATGTACTTCAACTCTGTAAGACCATCAGCCACATTTTTTTAAAACTAGAAATATTTCATCATCATTGGGCTCATGTGATTCCTGCTCCAGAAAGGTGAAGGTCTCTGGACATCCTGAAGGTAAACACTGACTGGCAGTCAGGGTAAGGATTAGGGTTAGATTTCTCAAAACCTATGTGGATGTATTTGTAAGGAAGGTGACTCTGCATTGGTAGTGATACAGATCAACTGTGACATGTTGGTATGGTTGCTGGATAGACCTTCAACTTTGACCTTTTTATGTCAAAGTTAGGGTTAGGGCTACTTCCAGCACAACTTGAATAGTATTTCCAGCATTCAGTCAGATTGGATAGAAGAATAAATGATCTCTAAGTGGATTATGAAGTCCCTAAACAACACTGCCCTTTGAAAAATATTATGTTTAATTGCTTTTTGCTTAATTAAGAACAACAACAAAAACTCCTAACTAAAAAAAACATTTGATTCGGAAACTGAAGTCAGCAGGTGATGATATTACATCTAATCTATCAGGTGTTCTAGCTCAGACCAACAGCTGCTCCTCAACATATTCTGGCTCATACAGATGTCCTCATATTTCCTAAGAAAAAGCCTCATCATCCATGGTGTGGTAATCACTTCTTTCTTCTGCCTCGTGGTTTTGAAATGTCATCGGACACATCGGATGAGTTTCAGTAGATCAAATGGACTGATGCAATCAACAGAAAGAAGCACTGTTTTCCATAGTAACACGCTCGCAGATGAGAAAGCACTGAAATAAAACAATGGTTCTCATACAAACTATTTCTTCCTGCAATCATCACACTTTTTCTGTTACAAACTGACTCTGGCCCCCCAGCAGAGAAGGGAAAAGTTATGTGGCCCTCATAGGAAAAAGTTTGGGGACCCCTGTGTTACATAATAAATGTAACATATAAAATCATTCATGTTACATGTCACAGAAAACATACTAAAAATCTGATTATATATCAGACCTTTAGTACTGATGTATACAGGGGTGTAAATTAAAAATTTAGAAATCCGACTTCCGGTTTCAGACTACTTGTCAAAAATGAAATAATGAAAATTGAAATTGACAGCTCATTATCCGTTTTTTCCATTTTTGTTTTGTGCACTAAATGGGAAATCGGATAACGAGCCACAAATCCGATTTTGGTTTTCTAAACGGAAAACAAAAAAACTAGTCTATTTCCGTTTTTCCATTTTCCATTTCAAATGAAAAAACAAACTGCCTGAAAATACACGGACCCTCAACAACACTCCTGTGAAAAAATCCACTCTTCATTCAGATGAACAAATACTCAGACAGGACACAGCTGATGTTCAGAGCACCTTGAGAAGACTCAACATACATAAAGCAGCAGGTCCTGATAACATACCAGGTTTGGCTCTCACAAACTGTGCTGACCAGCTTTCTCACGCACTCACTGACATATTTAACACCTCGCAAATTATTCTGTCCTACTTCAAGATGGTCATCATCATTCCAGTGGCCAAAAACCCACAATTTCAACACTGAATGACTACTGTCCTACTGTCCATCCCATGATGATGAAGTGTTTCAATGATTGTGTTAATGTTCTGATGAGAAATCACTTCATCCTTTCTATTGTTTTTTTCTTATCCTCTTCTAGTGTGTGAACTAGTGCATTTTTGCCTCAATGAGCTCAATCAACTGTAAACCTCTTCCTGATTTTCAGTTGAGCTGAAAATATGAGTGGGCTCTTATTTGTTAGTTAGGTCCAAGTGACTCACATTTTGTCTGCCAAACCTAAAGAAACTGCTGCATCTTAGTTTATGAGCCGACATGCTTCTACCTGGATGACAAAATGGTGAGTTTTCTGTCAAACCTTTTATGCTGACAGTGGCATAACATATCAAAACCTGGACCAGCATAAAACCAGCACAATTTAAATGCAAGTGTGGGCTACCTAGATACTGAATGCTGTGTTGTCTGTTTTACAGCCTTTTTGATTGAGTCACACTAATACTGCTACTTTGGTATCAAGAGATCCAACAGGGAATAAACAAAATTTGGGAATAGAGTGGCACATAAGACCTGAAGGAAGACTCTACCTCACCTACAGTTCTGTTTCAGAGTTTATGTTTAACATATACAAAATAATAATAAAATACTTTTAATATACACAGGTTTTCCTTGAAGTTTTCCTGTTTACCTGTGTTGTTGCAGTTTTTTGTAAATAGCCACCTCATCACGCTCCACTGAGCCGAGTTCTTCTCAGACATGAGATGATGACACAGTACAACCTCCATCAGATAGACCCAGAAGAAGAAGAAACCACTTCTGCTCAAACATGACTCAACAAATCATCAAATGCAGAAGACATAAGAAATGCTTGACAGATCTTGACTGTTAATTCAAGAGAGCAGCAGGTAGGACTTTGTGACATCTGAAGAGAAATGCACTTTTATTCTGTAGAAAGTATTTTCATTTTTATTTAATTACTTAACATGTTATGCATATTGCTATGTTTTTTCACCTCTTTAATAAGCAAGAAAAGAATAGGTAGGGTTAATGTTTGACTGACCAATATTTATTTGGACAGATGACAAAGCCACAAAAACAAATAAGACATTGTAATAATGTGTCTTTACATGTAATATCTCATAGCTTCAACATTCCATATTGAGATCCAGACATAATTTTCTCAAATAACAAGGTGGTATTGTTACCACAACATTTGAACTCGGCTTTGTTATCTTGTTTAAACGAATGCTCTAAGTTCTGATGAGGCACGATGTTTGAATTGATTAAAAGTATTGTCATGTTTTCCTGAAACATTTCACAAAGAAAAAAATGTAACTAATTAGAGAAAACAGAAAGTCTCAGCTGTTCAGTTTATCAAAACAAAAGTACTTCTTCAACTTTTATTCTGCTATGTAAACTAAGAATGTTATTTATGCAACACATTACACATATTACTATGTACTGTAATTTATTGCTCATACTAAGGCTAGTATTACCTTTTTGAAGGGTCCTGAAGAAATGCATGTAATAATGAACAATCAAGCAATGATTCTGTCTAAGCTGGGCCATTGTCTATGGGGGAATTTTTCTGCCATAATCCTAGAGCACACATGTTCAGTCTGAAAGCAGGATTTCTGTTCTCAAAACTTTTAATACTTTAGCTTACATTTTTATTTTGAGAGCAGAACTTCATATCTTTGTTCTCAAAACTTCTCCTTGCGCTCAGACTTAGTCTCTGCTTGGAGTAAATCTTTGCTTGCAAAACTCTGCTTGCTTGGTGGAATTTTCCTGCCATAATCCAAGAGCAAATATTTTCAGTTTGAAAGCAGGATTTCAGGTGTTTTGTTCTCAAAACTTTTAATACTTTTGCTTACATGTAAATTTTGAAAGCAGGACTTCATATCTTTCTTCTCAAAACTTGTAATGATTGTACTCAAAACTTCTCCTAGTGATCAGACTTTGTCTCTGCTCGGACTCTGCTCACTTTTGGAAACGCCTACTGGCACAGTTGCCAAGCAACCTCTCAGCCAATAGAATGAAAGTGTTGTGCTGGTTGTGTTTGGTTCCTTTTAGTTATTGATTGTAGCAGAAGCCTCACCACTGCCGCATATTGTTCATATCGATGGACTATTCATGTGAGATCTCGGGGGATAATGTTTCACAAGTTAGATAGACATGTTACTGTTTATATTTGTGAATAGAATATTACTATACTGTGGTGGATACAATGTATATATTTAACATCAGAATGTATGCTCTTATTGTGAAGGGGAGAAGGTACAATACTGTATTTACTGTCTGTCCACCGTCAAAATGCCAGCTAATATTAGTTTGGTGTAATACCGGGGTTCAGTCCCCGCTATGAAGGCTAACCTAGATTTTGTAAATCTAGCGACATTAACACACATAATATATAAAAAGTTTTATTCCCTGTCAGAATTGGGGCCTGCTCATTGTAAAGCCTAATGACAACAGCAGAAATGATTTTCTGTGGTGTACTTTGGTAAAATGAGTCTCTGGCTGAAGGGGCTCCTGTATCCAACCAGCACGTCATGGAGTGGATGAGACTCGTCCAAGATGGCTTGCATCTTGGACAGGATCCTTCTTTCTTTCACCACTGTCGGAGAGTCCAGCTCCACTGGGAGGGGAGAGTTGTTGGACAGCAGCAGTTGTATTGATGGGAAGGTGCAGGGGCCGGAGTGTCAAATCTGTTGAAAAACAGATTGAGTTCATTGGCTCTGTCAACATGGCCCTCAACCGCACCACAACCTGCTGATCTGAACCCGGTGACAGTCCTCATCCATCCCCAGACCTCTCTGGTGTTTTTCTGCTGGAGTTTCCTCTCCAGCTTCCTCTTATAATCTTCCTTAGCTCTTCTGATCTTTACCTTCAAGCACCTCTGAATTACTCTCACATCATCCCTCTTGCCATTTCTGAAAGCCCTCTTCTTCTTATTCAGGATGGTCTTGATCTCCTTTGTTATCCAGGGCTTGTTATGTGGGTAACAGTAAACTGTCTCAGTAGGGATGATGGAGTCAACACAGAAGTTGATTTGTGTTTTGCACTCAGTGAGCTCATCGATGTCCTCTTTATTCGGATGACGGAGTGCCTGCCAGTCAGTGGCCTCAAAACATCCCTGTAGTGTCTCAGTGACCTCTTTGACCCCCTCCTCACTGTCCTCATGGTTGCAGGCTGTCTCTTCACCAGAGGCATATAACATGGGCTCAGGTGCACCAGGTATGATCAGACCATCTGAGTGGAGAGGAACTGACATCACTAGCGAGGAGAGGGTTAATTATGCTAGCTTAACTTTCATCACCTTAACATGTACACATACTGCACAGTTCAGAGAATTTTGGTTCACTTAGCACAAAAATACGTCGACCCACATAGATTTTCTGACAGATAATCAGGAGTGCAGGTGTTTAAATTAGTGTTTAAATTAGCTAATCATCCACCACCAGTGTTCAGGTGATCAATTCCTAATGATTGCAAAATGAAAATTGACAAACATAAATCTGCAATGAACAGAGTGTTCTGTTTGGTGTTTTTACGTACTTTTTTGTGTAGGAAATGTTTTTGTGGCTCTTTAGCGTTAATTGATGTACTTGAACGTACTCCAACCAAATCATGGACAGCTGTGGAACCAGAATCACATAATTGAAAAATACAAAGGTTGCACTAACAAGGATTCACTTGGTTTACATGGAAGTTATTTATTCTGTTTTTTACATTTCGAATAACATGTTGATTTCTATAAAATCTCATGTTGGTCTTTTTGAGCAGCTTTGGCAACTATGTGATAATTCATCACAAAAATATTACTGAATTGTGAAACTTTTCAGCTGTAGGCAACCATTGAGCAAATACACAGATTTATTCCATAAATTTTAAGATCCCGGTACGAAATTCCACCAAGCGAGCTGAGAGTTTTGCAAGCAAAGATTTGCTCCGAGCAGAGACTAAGTGTGAGCACGAGGAAAAGGATTGAGTGCAATCATTGCAAGTTTTGAGAAGAAAGACATGAAGTTCTGCTCTCAAAATAAAAATATAAGCAAAAATATTCAACTTTTTCAGAACAAAAGACATGAAATCTTGCTTTCAGTCTGAACATGTGTGCTTTTGGATTATGGCAGAAAAATTCCCCCATAATTGTCAGGTTGAAAGTTTGTCCAACCAAAGAACATGTCCTTAAACCTCCAACAGGTTTAAGCTGACTGCCTGTCAGGGTTCTGTGTCAGCCAGTACCTTAACTTTCTTATAGTAAAATCATTAAAAATTGATCAAACTTAAAAATAAGTAAACTTCAAATATCAATGTATCTTTGGAAGTAATTACATTATCCTTTGTGTCAGTCACCAGTTCTGGTGGCCCTTAAAAAGCCTGAATTATGCAGAAGAATCTTCATACACTTTTCAGTCATGAATACATGGGATTTCCATGAAGGGTGTGGCGCAGAGTGGAATAGTAATCATTATGGCAAATAGGAGGATGCAAGTTAAATTACAGCTGTTGAAATATAATGCTATACAGTATAATATAATGCAGTACAATATTTATTGTTGGATATTATACGTGTTGCCTCTTGTCTTCTCACAGGGCTATAACAATGGCTTCGCCCTTTCTTTCCTGTCTCAACCTCTGTATGATTATATCAGTCTTTGCATTACCACCCACTGAGCCACCACTGGTTCGTGACCATCCCTTTGTGGCCATATGGAATGCCCCCACTGACCAATGCAAACAGCTTGAAATTCCACTGGATACCGCTGCCTTCCAGGCAGTGACTACACCTTCAGCTGTGCCAGGTCAGTTTCTTACCATCTTTTATGAAGATCGCCTTGGCCTGTATCCTAAAGTCGACATAATCAAGCACAAGATCTACAAAGGTGGTATCCCCCAAAACGGGAACTTGACAGAGCATCTTGCTAAGGCCAAAAGTACAATAGATCACTATATCTCCCAAGATTCCTCTCCTGGGCTGGCTGTGATCGACTGGGAGTCCTGGCGCCCTCTGTGGGACCAAAACTGGGGATCAAAACGTATCTATCAGAAGCTATCCATTACTCATGCATTGCAGCTGGCTCCCTTTTTGTCAGCAAAGAAAATTTCTCAAACAGCCAAGAGCCAGTTTGAGCTAGCTGGGCGACGCTTCATGGAAAAAACTATCAGCATTGGCATCGGCAAACGTCCAAACCGCCGCTGGGGCTTCTATCTGCTTCCTGATTGCTTCAACTATGGATGGAACAAGCCAGGATACACAGGGAGGTGCTCCACTAAAACTAAGAAGCAGAACAACAAGCTGCTGTGGCTGTGGGAACGAAGCACCGCCCTCTTTCCATCCATCTACCTCCATATTACTCTGAGAAACTCTCCCCGGGCCGCTCTCTATGTTCGTAATCGTGTCCAAGAGGCGCTGAGGGTGGCAGCGCTGCCAAAACACCTCTCCACTGTGCCTGTCTATGTCTACTCCAGACCCCTGTACCGGGATCAGACCCAAATGTTTCAGACTCAGGTGATTCATTTTTAACATTTCTTCTTTATTGTTTACATTCAACCTTGACTACTAATCCCAGAATTTGGGGATCTTGGATTAGCACTCAGGTTCTCAGCACCAAGACAATAATGACGCAAGAAGTAAAAAAGGCAATAAAGGTTTTTCCACATTTATGACTAGAACGTCTTACAGTGCCCTCTGCACTTTGGAGGGTACCCTGAAAAATCTTAAAATAAATTCAGCTTTTTTTACATTAGCTTAATCTTCATGAACATTTTATAAAAACACATTTCATTTGGGAACATTTATTCAGAATGGAAAACTACCATATGAAGACAGTTGCGTCTACATAAAACACATCAAGGCCTTCAAATTACTCCTTTAACTAGGCCCACAAAATATTAGAAGATATGCAAAAAAAATTTGCCCAAAATTGCTATGCTGATATTGTGATGAAGATTTATGAGAAATATATTATTTAGCACCACATAAAGTATGTAGTGCTATATTGTTTAGTGTGAATACAATTTACTCAAAACAATTAACAATTTTTTGTGTGAATTCTATTCTCTGTTTTCAGTCCAGCAGTGAACGCTCATGTACGCTAAAGCTAAAGCTAAAGCTAAAGCTGGGTTCCTGCTTTCCTCACTGTCAGATGATTCAGGCTGTTTTTATTTATTGCTCTGACCATAAATATGCACATTAAGGCCATAAGCTGTTGCATTGTAGCTTTTTCCTGACATATGACGATCAACACACATCTGCCTAAGTTAAATGGCATTTTGTTTTGTTTTTCCTATTTTGAAGGGTCTGCCACAGTCTTTAAACGCCAGAGAAACAGGAAGTCATGGATTACTCAATGAAAGTGTTTTATTAGTACAAATAAAATGTGGCACTTTTGTTTCTTTATGTGAAATTTGAATTCCCCTTAGTGAATGAGCTGAGAATAAATGTTTTCTAACATGTTCAGTGTGAGATGATACTACTGAAGTAACAGACAAATATATTTGAAGACTTCTGACAATGGAAGCCAATAAAAATGGAAGATATCATGTCTGAAATAGAACATTTTCCTTTTTCCTTTTCTTTTTTCTTTGTAGGTACCTTGCATTTGGCTCACCTATGCAGGAAGAATTCACATTCTCCATAGTTTTCTTAGGCCATCGTCAATGAACTTACAGGAATATTCACTTAGCTAACACTACCACTTCCTTAGAGCCAATGTTATTTATTAGAGTTGTATTTCTGTGGACTCAATAATCCATTTCCAGTCTGTTTTGTAAGCAGTTTTACAGGATTTACATCACATTGCCATTTTTCTTTTGAAGCATAGTCTGATGTTTTAGGCAGAAACCACAATTTAAATCAGAAAAGTTCTCATGAAATCCATGAGATTATTATCGTAAGTCAGTGTAGCTCAGAGTACTGGACACTTCCAGTCTTCCTATTTGGTTAACATTCAATATTTTCTTTACATGAGCAGAGGATTTTAGGTCATTTCCAAATGTCCAACATCCAAATGAATATAATTAATAGTGAATATGAGAGAATGACAGGAAACAGGAATCTGGTATGAAAATGTATTTGTCACTTGTGTGTGTTTTTGCCCTTTCAGACAGATCTTGTTAACACTCTTGGAGAGTCTGCAGCTCTGGGTGCTTCTGGGGTTGTAATCTGGGGAGGTACCAGGGACTACAACAACAAGGTAACTTTCAAGGCCTGAAGTCATTGACGAACAGTCTGTGTTGATATAAAATTCACATGCCGGCACACACACTGAATAGCTGTCCCGTCTCTCTAAAGGAGAGGAGAGGATCTACCACTGAAGGTTTCTGGGTTGATCTGCAGACATGATCACAAAAACTGTTGAAATATCTAAACAGGAACACAGATGACTAGGCTTTAGTCAGCAATAATCTGAATGTCTTCATTTCCTCTTTTAGGTAGAGAGTAGAGGAAAAAACACGGAAGTATTCTTATCTATATGAAGCAGTCAACCACCAGTTAGTCTTTTGTGGTTTGTTGTTTACTTTAATATAATGTCAAACAAACATTTTTCTAGACCTGTTTTGGTCCTCTGGTATTTGAATTTTGGAATTTATCGGGTTGGGTTTATTATTTATTCATATCTTTTATTTGTGCATTTACATTTAGCTTTTCTAGATTAGCGTCTTCCTTTATTGTGTCTGTTAGTTTCAAGCTTTCCCTTCTGCTTAGTGCCGTTAGGGTTCATTTGTCTCCCTTCCTCTGTTAACTTCAGCCTACTGGTCTTTGCTCCTGCACTAGGTGTTCCCTTTGACTTGACTGCCTCGCCTGCAGCCCATGTCATCATCCTCTCCTCCTTTTACATAGTTGTCTGCTTTCATTGCACTTTGCTGTTTCCTCTAATATTTTCCCTACCGTTTTGCTGCTTCTCTGCACAAGACTTGTAAGTTTTCAGCTTTTGTTAATTAAAGAGAACGCATTACAAATCATCCCAATCTCAGTGAAATCAGCAACCCTGTATTTTGTGTACCGTAACTCAGTCTAAGTTTAGCTCCATTGAGAAGTAAAGGTAAAGCGGGTTCAGTTCCTCCAGGTAAGGGATGTTTCACTTCAAAACAAATTGCAACCGCCAATTGATCAGTCGCTGACAAACCCACTGGACTGGTTAACAGGTGGCACCATGTCAATTGAACTAACAGGGATTTAAAGATTGTCTCAGATACCTGTTTTTCTTCATCTTGAAAACATTAAAGGGGATGTATTATGTGACTTTTTTGAACATTATATCATCTTATAATGTTGAAGGTCAGCAGCACTTAGCAAACACCTTGCAGAATTGTGCATCCAGTCCAATGTGCCTAAGAACAGCTGTAAACGGCATCATGGAGAAACACTGTTGTGATAATTTGCACAATCATCCCATTCCCATCAGTGAAAAACTGATGGGAATGGGATGATGTGTTTACAGGTATGAAAGGGATACAGGAAAGGATAAAATGTCAATAGGTACAAAATCAGGTTATGAATTGGTTCAGGGATGAGTAGATGTAGATGATTGTGCTCATTGATCCTTCAACTTCCTTCAATTTGTAGGCCTCCTGCCAGTCTCTGTCTGACTACCTGTCCTCCACGCTCAGTCCATATGTTGCCAATGTGACTGCGGCTGCCATGCTCTGCAGTAGGCTGCTGTGTAAGGGAAATGGCCGCTGTGTGAGGAAGAACTACAACACCGCTCACTACCTTCACCTGAACCCCACCTCCTTCCGCATCCTAAAGGCAAGCGGGAAGTACATCGCCGTCGGTCTCCCATCTGCCAGCGACCTCAACGACTGGGTGGAGAACTTCACATGCCAGTGCTATGCTGGGTGGAGCTGCTTTCCTGAGCTGCAGCGTCCAACTCAAGTTCAACTTATAAGGGTTTAAATTGTGAGGGGAGTAAATGAATGGCCCTTGCTGCCTTCTTATGGTTGTGTAGTCATTGCTGTGAGGAAAACATATCATAAACAATGTTTGCTCACAAAATAAAGATATGAGGCAAAACATTAAATTCCTGATTCCTGCACTGGGATATTTTTTCTTCCTTCACACAGTTGCTAAACCAACAAGAACAAAATAAACTTTGTGTAGTGATGATATCTGAGAAGTCCAACACATTTGCAACCCACTATTGGCTGAAATGTAACAGGAATGCTTTTTTTTTCAGTTTCTTTTTCTAGGAATAACTCACTGTCAATCTCAAGACACTTTAATAGAAAAACTGTTCCAGCTGTAAATACTTATTTAATCAAATCAATACAACAGATTCTAATTTAATTACATAAGATCAAATTAAATCTTAAAACAATGGAGTTGAATTCAGACAAATGGTTAAAAAAAGTTATATCTGTCCTCTTTAACCAAGCATGTGGCATCAAGGAGAATATTGTGCAGCCTCCTGCCATGAAACAATTTATTGAAGCCTAGATGATAATGTCATGGTAAACTTGTGACAGTTAATTCACAACATTTTAGATCAATGATGGCATACCTATAGATGTATTATTTCAAGGCAACACCTCAAGCTTTCTTACTAACTCTAACCCATAAAAAAAAATTAAGGAGATTAAAATTCTAAGGTTTGGAGACATGTCCTGTGGTTCAGGGATGGCCCAAGGCATAAGCAAACTAAGCAGCTGCTTAGGCCCCCAGGGCCATTAAGGGGCCCCTCAGTGGAGCTGATTGTTTTTTTTTTTTTTTTTTTTTTTTTTTAGTAATAATTTCTATGTCATTATAATATCAAAAACACACAATTTCACTATGAACTGATTTGTTTTTACAATATATATTTGATAATGTATGTAGACATCATTATTTTATGGATAAAAGAAAAAAAAATTCTCTTGGGGGCCCCTGGTGGCCGCGGTAGGTACCGCACACTTCGCTGGTACCTTCGCCGGTAGGAAGAATAGAAAAAAGCCAAAATAAAGGTTTGTTTTAATGTGCCTTGGTAATGTAATGAAAAAGATTTGTAAAGCTGGTAATAGAAAATTAGCTTGTTAGCAACCTGGAACGGTCCAGTTCAACAGCCAAACATTTATGCGAGGGTCTTTGTGTTTGTGGGAAACTGAGTTTAAACTTTAGATGAGTTGGTTCTCATGGTGGCTCTGTATATTTCTGAGGTATTTTTGGCTTCAAACCACTGTGTTTGATTAAGTTTGATAACAATAATTAAAACTTCTCAATGTTTGACATTGTCTAGCAAAATATTTCTATGTCAGGCTACACAGCTGCTACATCGATGAGCTGCTCTAAGCTGTAGTTGGGATATGTTGTTTGCTGCTGAGCAGAATCATTTTGTGGCTAAAACAAACATTATTTTACACCAACTTCTAAGTTATGTGAAACTTCTGTTAAAATCATTTGAAGGCTCAGAATCAGTCCAGTACCAATCCACATTCCAGGGGAGAAAGACAGGTCAGGTCTGCACGTCTGCAGTTAATATTTTTAACTGCAAACAACAATATATTGTTGCACGTTTGCAGACCTGACCTGGTGGGCCGGTCTGTCAGTCAAACCTCTCACTGCAGAGCAGAAGAGGACAGAGACTGATTTATAAACCTTTGCTGATGAAGATAAGATTACGGGACAAGATCAGCTTCACGTGTAAGTATCGGCCAATCACAATCCCCCAAAATTAAGGAAATCGGCGCCCAGAAATCAGCTGGTTGATATATCAGTTGGCCAATAAATGTAACCTATATTATGCATGTGTATAATGTAAACAGCACTGCCAGAGATGCAATAGGTTTATAGCAGGTGTGTGAATGATCTAATGATCGGACTGCTGACTGCAGCCAGTCCGCATTGTTAGCAGAACTAGAGGGCCCCAAAACCACATTTCGGTTTTGAGGCCCTCAAAATGTTTTTTGAGGGCCCCAACGTTTAGCAACATAAGCGTTACATAACCTTGTATTAAAGCAGAAAGTACGGCGGCCACCGTAAGAAGGGCTTACAGTATTCAATTATGCCCCATGAACTGATCAGTAGATTATTGCGAGGGAACGCAAAAGAAAAAAAAAAAAATTCCCATGTCCCCTGTCCGTAGGTTTCCTTGTATGTCATACCTTTGAGGCATTAATTCCATATAAGAAAGCACAAGCTATAGTTAGGAAGACTACTAGAGCAGCTAAGAAGGCTTGTTGGAGGCAGTATTGTAATTCCTTTGGAAGAGAGACCAAATTGTCAGAGGTATGGAGAGTTATTAAGAAAATGAATGGTGTTAAAAAGAGCTTTTCCTTACCAGTTTTAGAATTAAATGGGAAAATAGCAGTTAGTAATAAAGAAAAGGCAGAGTTATTAGCAGAAACGTTAATTAAGGTGCATAGTTCAGAAAATTTATCTGAAGATATGGAAAGTAATAAAGAAAATTTATTGGATGAAAATCCAGAAGTTACTACTAGGAGAGAAGTCTCAAACCAGGGTTTAGATATGCCTTTTACTATGTATGAGTTAGAAAAAGCTATTAATAATGCTAAGCAATCAACTCCGGGGAAGGATGGAGTGTGTTATGTAATGCTCAAACATTTTAAATATTCATCTCTTACTGTTATATTAAAATAATTTAATCTGATTTGGATGACTGGGAGAATTCCTGCAGAATGGAAACAGTCAGTTATAATTCCTGTGTTAAAACCTGGTAAAAATGCAACAGACCCGTCAAATTATAGACCTATAGCTCTCACTTCTTAATTAGGGAAAATAATGGAGAGGATTGTTACAGATAGGCTTTATTGTTTTATTGAGAGTAAAAATAAATTCTGTCCTTTTCAGAGTGGTTTTCGTAAAGGGAGGAATACGATGGATGCAGTTCTGTGTTTAGAGTCAGAAGTAAGAAAAGCTCAAGCAAATAAAGAGTTAGTGATAGCTGTGTTCTTTGACGTAGAAAAGGCTTATGATATGTTATGGAAAGAAGGATTATTGATTAAATTAGGGAAAACTGGTATAGGAGGTAAGATTTATAATTGGATTTTTGATTTTTTGTTTGGTAGAGAAATAGAAGTTCGGGTTGGGGCGAATTTCTCTTCTAGATATGCTGTTGAGAATGGTACCCCCCAAGGTAGTGTGTGTAGCCCAATTCTCTTTAATATTATGATTAATGACATTTTTGATGAGATAGATAGTAGTATAGGCAAATCTTTATTTGCAGATGACGGTGCTTTATGAATTCGGGGACATAATCTGGTTTACTTACAGAAAAAGATGCAGGGTGCCATTTTGAAAGTGGAAGGTTGGGCTAATAAATGGGGATTTAGGATGTCAATTGCAAAGACTCAAGTTATTTGTTTTTATAGAAGACATAAGGAAGTCAAGTTGTACCTTTATAAACAAAAGCTTGAACAAGTGAAAACAGTGAAGTTTTTAGGTGTTATATTTGATGAAAGCTTAACTTGGAAACATCAAATAGAATCAGTTCAAAATAAATGTAAAAAAGTGAATAATTTGTTGAGATGTCTCTCAGGACAGGAATGGGGAGCTTCAAGAAGTGCACTGTTGGGAGTCTATCAGACTCTCATGAGATCTACTCTGGACTATGGGTGTACAGCATATATGGCAGCTGCTGACAGTCATTTGAGAAAACTTGATGGAGAGCAAACACAAGCATTGAGGATTTGTTGTGGAGCTTTCAGAACATCGTCTTTAGCTGCTTTACAAGTAGAAACTGGTGAGCTTCCTTTAAGATTAAGAAGGTTGAAACTAATGTACATGTACTGGGTGAACCTACAAGGACATAAGTGTGATCATCCAACTAAGGTGGTGCTGAAGGAATGTTGGGAACATCATAAATTAAATTGTAATAGTTTTGGATGGACTGGGGACATAAAGGCAAAACATCTTGGTTTAACTGTGTTTCAGCTCCTCATTCTGAAATTCCACCATGGTTATTTATATCTCCAGAAGTTGATCTTCAATTAAGGGAAATTTTTGAAAAGAATAAGACTCCAGAATCGGTTGTAGTTAATAGATATTTTGAAAGATATAAAGACAACATAGTTATATATACAGATAGATCTAAAGATTCAAATAGTGGTAGAACTGGGGCAGCAGTGAATATCCCACACCATAAAGTCTTGATTAAGAGGAGAACAGCTGACCATTTAGCTGTTTTTACAGTTGAATTATCAGCCATCATATTGGCCTTAGAATGGTTGTTCGATTATGATATTAGGGAATCTGGCTAATTATCGGCCTATTTCGAAGCTGCCTTTTCTTTCTAAGGTTTTAGAGAAAATTGTGTACTGTCAGCTGACACAGTTTTTAGATGACAATGGCATTCTGGAGGTTTTTCAGTCAGGTTTTAAAACTCTTCATAGTACAGAATCTGCTTTGATTAGAGTTTTTAATGACGTTCTTCTTGCATGTGATTCTGGTCACCATGTTGTTCTGATGTTACTTGACCTAACTGCTGCCTTTGATACAGTAAACCACAATATTTTAATATCGCGATTACACCACATTGTTGGTATTGATGGCACTGTTCTTAAATGGTTCAGGTCTTACCTGGAGGAGAGAACATTTTCAGTGAATATTAGTGGCTCTAAATCATCTGTTGCTTCAATGTCTTATGGTGTCCCACAGGGCTCAATTCTTTGCCCACTGCTTTTCTCTCTTTATTTACTGCCTCTGGGTTCGATCCTTAGGAAACATG